GGTCGTCAAGCGTGAGCAGAGAGAAACATGGGGAACAACTGCCCGGTCCAGGGGAGTAGGCAGCGGGGTGGACTACGCCCAGTCGCGCAACAGGCGCGATGCACGAAGGTCTGCGTGGGGGAAGCAGGGGGGAGCCAGCTGAAGGCGGGGTCAAAAGGGGCAGGGGGCTGGGTGGAAAGGCATCGGCGGTGCAGAAGAGGGAGCACGGGGTGCGAAAGGCGGCGGCAGTGGCAGAGGGCCGACTGCGCACAGGAAGGGCAGCAAGGGCTGCAGGGGCAAGGTGCCACGGCAACTGCAGCCCGGGGGTGGAGGGGCAAGGGCATACCAACGGCCAGTTCCCGCACGGCAGGCGGACGGAGGATGAGAGGGAGGGCGAGAGAAGGGAAGGTCCTAAACTCAGCCATGCCCACGTGGAGGGAGGCTGTGCAACCACCATGGGTGCGTTGCAACACGCGGAAGGCCGGGCCGCGGAGGCGAATAGCCGATGAAAAGGCCTGCAGCGGCAGGCGCAGTAACAAAAGCCGGGGAGATGCTAAGGGATCAGTAAGAGGAAGAAAGCACGGGCATCCAAAAGAGGGAAAAGAACGTCAATAGGTGGGGTGAGCCCTGGGTATAAAGCGCAGAGGGCCGGCGGCGGGTACGGCGGAGGTAGCATGGCGGCGAGTGGGCGGCGAGCAACAGGGGGGGAGAGCGGCCGCCCAATAGCGTGGCGGGAGGGACCGCGCGGCACTGTAGCAGCACGCTGGCGGTCGGCGTGGAAGCGGCCGGGTGGCTGCGGTGCGGCAATACCGGGGGGGTGGGCGGGGCGAGGCGCCAGAGAAGGGTTAGGAGAAAGGCCAGGGAAAGAGCAAAAACGGTGGAGAACGCCAGTGCACAAACGCGGCGGCCACGGAGCCGGGCGTATGTGGGATAGGGGCAAGGGGGCGCAGGGGGAGGGGCTTGCAACAGCGGCTGGCAACACTGGGGCAACGTCAGGGGGCGGCGGGAGAAACCCGCGGCCAAGGGGATCCGGGAAAAAGCATCAACAGCAACAAGAGTAGAGGGCGACCACGTACACGGAGGAGCAACCGGGCCAAAGAAGTCCAGGGGGAGCAAGCGGAGCGGGTCGGGTGAGGGGAGGCGGGCGTGCGGAGACTGGAAGGATGAATGGGAGTGGCGGGCCGCGGGGCGCAGGCATCACACACGTGGCCGGCGGGCAAAATAAGACGGGCGAGGCCCGGCGACGAGAGGGGCGTGGCAAGCCGTGAGGGAGAGGCTGTGAAGGGAAAGGGGGAGCTTTCGGGGCAGGCCCAAGGGCGGCAGGCGAATGGTCGGGCCCAGTGAAAGCAGACGGAATACCGTGCGGGGGCGCCAAGCACAATCAGACAGAGGCGGGCGCCGGTGGCCAGGGAGCACAACGGCAGGGGAGCAGCGCAGGTGGTAGGATGGCCAAGGAGCGGGGGAAAAGGCCACAGAGAGCCGGGAGTCACAAAAAGGGACGATGGGCGCAACAAAGTGAAGGGGAGACACGGCAACAAGGAAACAGACGGCGAGCGTGGAAACAGGGTCTTGCAAGGCGACCAACGCCGGGTGGTGAGGGTCCAGAAGCGGGGATGGCCGTCCAAAGAGAAACGGGGGCGCGCCAGCGAGGGGCGGGAAAAGGCACAAGGACAGGAGGTGAGGGCGAGGCAGGTGGCTCGCGCCGGGGTGGGTGTGTTGAGGTCGGCCGCGGGCAGCAACCACGGGCGATGGACAAACATCCGACGAAAAAGAGGAGGGGGGGGGAGGGACCAGACGGGCGGGGGCGGCCGGTGGCGGGGAGAGGAATGGGGGGGGAACCAAACCCACCGACGATGCCGAGGGGAAGGAAGAGAGGCAGGGGGGAACCATGAAACACGAGAAGCAGAAGAACGCGGGAAAACACGGGGGGCGCCGGAGGGGGAAAAACAGGGGGAAACGGAGGCACCGGGCGAAGAGGATGTGGGGCGGGCGGGGAGAAGCAAGCCAGGAAAACAGGAGGGACACAACCAGCCGGGGGGGGGAAGAGAAGCTGGCCAAGCTGCTAGGGCGAGAAAAACGGCCCGCGGGGCGAAAAAGGCGGGGGCACGGGACGCGGGGCAGAGCGGGGCGGGAAGAAGGGGGGCGGTGCCGGAGGAGGAAACGGGGGCGCGCCGTGGCAACAAGCAACGTGGGCGTCGCAGAGTAGCAAGGCCGGGGCGCAGGGGGGCGAGGCGGACGGGGAACAAAGTGGACAACGGGAAACGGGAGGACGGAACAGGACGCAGGAGAAGGTAGTGCAGAGGGTGAGGGGGGGGAGAAACAGGGGGTCAGGCAGAACCGAGGGCCGGGGCGAGCGCCGGAGGCCTGGGGCAGGTGGGACCATTGGGAGCCAGAATGGGCGAACGAACGGAGTAAACGGAGACAAGGGGAGCCCGGAAGGCGGGAGGGGCGCGAACCGCGCGGGCGGGACTACGCTGCGTGGAAGGGTAAGAGGGTCACGTCGGCAAGGGACTCACGGCAAGGAAAAGCAGCGGCAATGGGAGAGCTGCGGCGGGGCAAGAAGGAGAATAGGAGGGCGGGCCGGGATGTGGAGGGGAGGGAGCAGTAAGCGTCGGGACATAGCGCGAGGAGACGGCAAGTAGAGGCAGAGAAAAGAGGAAGGAACAGAAACGAAAGAAGGAGATGTGACCGCGGCGGCCGCGGCCCGCCAGAGCCAGAAAACACGCGGAGCGGTGAACGCAATCGACAAGGGAGGGGCCAGAGGAGAGCCGAGGGCAGCGGCGAACGGGAGCGGGCAGCACGGGAGGACAAGCATGGCGCACGCACCAGGTGCAAAGGGGGGGCGGGCGAACTGAGAGCCGGTGGCGGGCGGCTGGGAACCGGCGAGTGGGCGGGCGGGATGGATGGGGGTAAGGCAACAGGGAGGGTGAGACTGGCGAACGCAGCGGAGACAAGACAAGGGAGGGGTGAAAGGGCCGGGGGGTGCGGCAAGGGGAGCAGAAAGGGTGGGTGCGGCGAACGGGGGCGGCGGGGGTCGGGGCCGAGCATGACAACAGGGGACCACTGAGCAGCAAGGGGGGGGTCTGCCGAGGGCGCAGGAACCGGGGGAAGGTGGCGGACAAAAAGAGCCATAAGGGGCGGTCAGCGTGATGAAAAGCAAGTAGGAGCTGACGGACCGGAGAGGGGACGGGGGGCAGTTAGAGCGGGAGGTGCGTAAGGGCAGGGACTGCATCAGCGGGCGCCTGTCAGGCGAAACGCAGTAGGCGGGAAGAGCACGAAGGAAGGGGGCGTGGGGACAAGATCGCGTGAGAGCGCTGGGTGAGCGCGCAGAGCCCGGAACTCGGCAGGTCCCAGGGAAGAGGGGAAGCCGCGGTAGAACGGGCGAGAGGAATGGCCGGGGGCGAATAGGTGTGGGCCAGGCTCAGTAAGGGCGCAAGGATGGGAGCAAGGCGAGCGGCCAGTAGCAACAAGGGAGGGTGGTGGCCGGGGCGGGCAGCCATGGGGAAGGCCGCGAACGGCGGCATAGCAAGAGGGAGCGGGGGAGCGGGGGCGTGTGAGCGCCGGCGCCGAGCGGAGGAGAGGAGCCCAAAGGGCGTGGGGCACTTGCGACAGGGGACGCACGGGGGGAAGAGGGTAGGCATGCTAAGGGCCGGGGAACAGAAGAGCGGGGAAAGGGGCGCAAGAGGGGGCCGTTGTCGAGCAAGCCGGAGGGGCCAGGCCAGCCGGGGGGTCGGGGGCCGACAAAGGGGGAGCAGCCGGAGAGAAGAAAAGCCGGAGGGACGTTCAAGATTTCGAGCGCGGCCAGGGGAGAGAACGGCCCACAGGGTCAGCGGGGAAAGCGGAGAGAGGAACCGGCGCAGACGAACGGGCCAAGCCAGCATAAGGGAGTCAAGCGCAGAAGAAGAGGAGGTGGAGCGAAAGCGGGAGTCAGCTTCGCGGAAGGCGGCGATGAGAGAAAGAATCCAAGGAGATCACACTGGGGGAAGAGGGATGTGCCGAGCCAGGCAGAAACGGGGGGACCCCAAGGAGGCAACGGGCGGGAAAAAGCAAAGTGGGCCGAAAGGAGACAGGCGGCCGCGGAGACCAAGGGGGCGGCCCAAAAGAGGGAAGAGGGAAAGGCGAAGGCTGGGGGGGCGCGGGAGAGACGGGCAAACGGGGTAGCACCAGGATCCACAGGGCGATAGCCAGAGAGAAACCAAAACGCGGAACGAGTAGGGGGAGAGGAGGGGCACATAAAAGAAAAGAAAGAAAAGACGAGGGTGGTGGCGTAGAGGGGGGCAAGAGGAGGCGCGGGAGAAGCAAGCAAGAGGAGGAAGCGAAAGAAAGGCAGGAAGCAACACAACGCGCAATGGGAGACGGGGGGGCGAGGTGGGGAAGTGGCCGCCGAATCGCCACGGCCGCGGAGCGCCAATTTAGAAGGCACGAGAGCCACCACGGCGGGGGCCAAGAGACAAGGCAAGCCGGGAGCGAGGGCGGAGCACCAAGCCCACACGAAGCACGCCAGGGGCACAACACGGCGGCGGGGGGGCACGGCGGCCGGGTCGGACGGGGCCATGTATTGTCACTGGACGCCGCCGGGACGGGCCCCCCGCGCGGCGGTGTGACGAGCCGGGAGAAACGGAGCCCGGGAGCGAGGGCGGGGAGCACAAAGCCCTCACGAAGCACGCCCAAGGGCGGCCGGACACGGCGGCGGCTAGCGTCACAACGCCGGGTGACAAGCCAGGAGGTCACAACGCACCGGCGACGGGCCCCCGGGCCCGGGGGGGCCCGCCAAAAACAAGGGGCCGGGCGGCCGAACGGGCAGACGCGGAGAGTGAGAGGGGCGAGGAGGCGCGGAGGCGCGGGAGGGGAGGATAGAGGCGAACACGCGGTGAGATGGCGGTGGAAGGCGGGGAGCACGCGAGGGGGAGCGCACAAAGAAGAGAGCAAGGGAAGCGCCGGAGAGGCCGAAATGCGGCGGGAAGGGGGGTATGCCGCGGGAGCGCGGCGGCGGGGCGCCGGCTGGCCGAGGGCGGCGATGCGCCCCGGCGTTGCCAATAGCGGCAAGCGGCATCCGGGTAGAGCTGGGATAGGAGAAGCCGGCCGCGGGGCGAATAGAAACGGGCGCATGGGGGGAAGGGCAGAACGAGCGGGAGAGCCGGGGCAGATGGAGAAGAACGGGGCTAGATGAGGGCAGAGCAGGCGCTGCAAGGAGGGAAAAGGGCGCGCCAAAAAGTGGGCCGAGCGGCCCAAAAAGCGGCAGCGCGGTGGAGAGCACGCCGCGGAGGCGGAGGGGAGCGGCAAAAGAGAAAGCTCGAGGGGAAGCCGCGGACGAGGGAGACGTGAGGAGGGGCCGGCGGCCCAACTGCGTGCGGGGAGGGCCGCGGGACTGCACGGCTGGGGCGGGAGACGGCGGGGCCAGACGGTCAGCGGCGGAGGGACGGGGCGAAAGCGCGGCCAGGGAAACTTGCAGCCCGGACTATGAGGGGGAAGGGAAAGCGTCGCCGGACGGAAAGGGACGGGGCGAAAGCTCGGCCCAGGGAAACGGCAGCCCGGACGAGAGGGGGAAGTGGAAGGAAAAGCGCAGCCCTGGACGGAGGGGAAGGGAAACGGCATGCCCGGGAAGGGGAGATGCCTTCTGACGGGAGGCGACGGGGAATAGCGCGGCCATGGAAACGGCAGCCCCGCCGGGAAGGGAGAGCCCGGGACGGATTTGACGTGGGAAAGGCGGCCCAGGGAAACGAGCCCGGACGAGAGGGGAAAGGGAAAGCTCAGCCCGGACGTGAGGGGGAAGGAAACGGCAGCCCTTACGCAGCCGGACGGGAGGGGGAAGGGAAAGGCAAGCCGGGAAGGCAAGCCCGGGGCAATAGCGCTAGCCCAGCAAAGAATACGGAAACGGTCGGCCCCCCGGAGGGGAGACAAGGCTGGGAACGGCAGCCCGGCAAGGGGAGAGACGGAGAGACGTGCCAGCCCGGCAAGGGGGAAGGGAGCCCAAGGGCAGCGTGGAAGGGCGGCCCGGCGGCCCAAACCAAGCGCCCAAACGGCGCGGTGGAGCGCGCGCGGGGGGCGCCGCCGCGTGGGGGGGGGGAGAATCCAGCAGAGGAAGGGGGCGGCCGAGGGGGTGCCGAAGCGGAAGCAAGGAAAGAGGAAAGGGGGAGGACCAAGGCCCCAAGGGAAGCGGAGGCAAGGAGCGCAGGACGCAAAATGGAAGGAGGAAGGGCACGAGCGCACGCCAGGGGGCCAGAAGGGGCAAGCGGGAGGCGAGGCATAGGGAGGGGCAGAGAGGGGCAAAAGGGAGGAAGGGGCAAGGCAAAGCAAGGAAGTGGATGAGAAGCGGAGTAAGGGGCAAGGCCAAAGCATAAGAAGGGAGGAGAGGGCATCGGGGCAAAGAGATGGAAGGAGGCAAGGGAGCAGGGCGCGAAGGGAGAGGGGCCCAAGGCAGCAAGAAGGGAGCGCCAAGGCAAGGGAGGGGAGGAAGGGACAGAAAGAGGGGCCAAGGGCAAAGCAAGAGAGCCCAAGGCAAGGGAGGAAGGGGCAGGCAAAGCAAGAAGGGAGGGAGGAGGAGGCTAAACGAGAGGAATGGGCAGGAGGGACAGGGGAAGAGAGGCCCAAGCAAAGCAAGGAAGCGGAGGAGAGGGCACGGCTAAAGAGAGAGAAGGAGGAAGGGGACAGGGGAAGAGAAGGCCCAAGGCAAGAGAAGAAGAGGTGAAGAGAGGAAAAGCAGGAGACAGCCAGGACGGGAAGGACAGAAGGAAAGACAAGAGAAAAGGGGGCAGAAGCAAAAAGACGAGGCGAAACGAGGAAGGGAGGAAAAGGAGAGGAGAGGGGGAAGAGAAAAGCCCAAGAGGCGGGAGCGACACCAGAGGAGAGGGGGGGGACGCCAGGGGGCGAAACGGCGCTCAACGGGCAGAGAAGCGCGACAGAGCGGCAACGGGAGCGGAGCCGCGGGAAAAGGCGAGACAGCTGAGAGGAAATGGCAAAAGGAGAACGGGCGGGCCAACGACGAGGCGCAGGACCAGCGAGAAAGAGAGGAAGGGAAGCGGGGAAGCAGGGGAGAGAGAAGCAAAGAGCAAAGAAGCGAAAAGAACAGAAGCAAACAGAGCAGACAAAGGCAAAGAAAGCGGGCCAGCGCAGAGCGAAAGGGAGAGAGGCGGGGGAGAGAAACACGCAGAGGGAAGACAGAGCGGACAAAAGATAAGAGTCCAGAGGGGGATGAAGCGCAGCAACGACAATGAGACGAGAGCAGCAGCGAAATCGAAGAGCAGCGACAGAGGCGCAAAGGGGGAAGCAAGGCAAAACGGGGGGGGGAGCAAAACAAGGGAAAGGAGGAAAGGAACACGGAGGGGGGAAAGCCGGGAGGGGCACACGGAGCGGGGAGAGCCGAAGCAGCAGGGGCGGAAGACAGGGGGCGGGAGGAGGGGGGCGGGGGAGCAAAGCACGAGAGCACGGAAGAGACGGGGCGACCGGAGCGGAGAAGACGGGGGGAAAGGAAGCACGGAGGCGGGGAAAGCCGGGGAAAGGAACGCGGCGACGGGAAACCCGAAGCAGCAGGGGGGGAGGCACGGGGCGGGAGGAGGGGGGGCGGGGGGAGCAAAGCACGAGAGCACGGAAGGCAGGGGAGCGGGGAACCAAGAAGGGGGGGAGAGAGGGAAGGGCGCGGGGAGAGAAGAGCAAGGGGAGGAGGAGGAGGACAGCCACCGCCGAACCACGAGAAAGGGCCGGGGGGCGGGACGGCGGGCGGACGGACGGCGCGGGCGGGCGGCGCACGAGAAGAAGCGGGACACGAGCGACACACACACCGGAGCGGGGAGGAGGCCGCGGGGCACCGGACGCGAACAAGCGAGGGAAGAGGCGGGGGGAGCGCGGGCGGAGCAAGGGGGGACGGGGCGAAAAAGGGGGAAAGGCGAGGCACCCCCCCCCCCCGCGAGACGGGCACCGGACCGCGGGGGGACCAACAAGGGGGAGCAGAGCCGAGCGAGGCGAGGGCGGAGGAGACAACAAGGGGGAGCAAGGCACGGGGCCGAAGGGGGGGCAACCGGGGGCGGACGGCGAGGCAGAGCCAGCGGACCCAGGGGGGGAAAGGGGAGGAGGGGCGCGCGGAGCCACGCGAGAAGAGGAAGAAAGAGGGAGCGCAAAAGCGAGGAGGCGCGCGGGAGAAAGGGGAGGAGGGGAAAGGGCGGAGGCAGGGGCAGCGAGCAGCGGGACACGAGGAAAGGGGGGAAGGGAGCGCCACGGGCCCGAGCGAAAGAGGGAAAGGAAAGACGGCGGGGCGGCGAGCACCGGAGGCGCAACAAGGCGGACCAAAGCCAAAACCGGAAGGGACAGCGGAGGAGAGAAAAGAGGAACAAGCGGGACAACAGGGCCAAAGAGAGGCGGGCAAAGCCAGGGAGGAGACAAGAGGCCCAAAAGGGCGAAAAGGGACAAGGGCAAAAGAAAGGGGGGAGACGCGCAGCAAGAGCGGAGAAGGAGAGGAACAAGAAAAAGAGAACAAGCGCACGAGGGCGAGGAAGAAGGGCGAGGACGGCAAAAGGCGCGCAAACGAAGCCAGGGGGAGAGGGAAGCGCGAAGGAGCAAAAGCCGGGGAGAAAGGAAGGACCGGGGCAAAAAGAGGAGCCAAAAGGAAAGGAAGCGCAAAGGGCGACGAGGCGGACCAGCGACAGGGGAGAGGAAGGGGACGGCGAGGCGAGAGCACCGAGAGCGAAGAAGAGGGGCAACCGACAAAGGAGGGAGGGAGCGGAAAGCAGAGGAGGGCGAAAGGAAGGCCAAAGAGGAGGAAGGGCAGGAAAGGCGAAAGCCAGCGCGAAGGGCCGAACAACCGGCAACCGCCAGGGCAGGAGAGAAGAGGGAGGGAGAACGGACGAACAAGGGGCGCGGGGGGGAGAAAAGGCAAAAGGGGCAGGCGAAAAGGAGACAACAAAAAGGCGGCGCGGGGAAAAGAGGGCGCGCGCACGACACAAGAAGAGAAAGGCGAAGAAAACAACAAGGGAGGCGACAAGGGCCGCAAACCCGGACAGGGCAAAAGAAAGGGGCCGGAGCCGAGCGGGAGCAAGGAGCAAGGCAGAAAGGGGGAAGCGACACCGAAGAAAGCCGAAAGCAAAGAGCGAAGGGGCAAGCGCGACAAAAGAAAAGCGCGCGGGAGCAAGGAACCAAAGGAAAAGGAGGAGGCGAAGGGAGGGGCAGCAAGGGAGGAAAGCGCAAGGGCGGAAGAGGACACGGCGCGAAGAGGCAAAGCAAGGGAGGGGAGGGCAAGGGAAGAGGGCGGGAGGGCGCGGGGAGCAGAGGAAGAAGAGGGAACAGCGAAGGCGGGCAAGGCGGGGAAGGCCGCGGGGCGCGGGAAGCGAGGGGCAGGCGAAGGCGAGAGGGGCAAGAGAGGAGGCGCACGCAGCCGCAACGCAAGGAGCGCAAGAAGAGGCGAAGGCGGGAAAAAGAAGAGAGGAAGAAAAAAGGGCAAGAGGCGGGACGGGAAGGGAGGAACGGGAAGAGGGAAAAGAGGCAACGGCAAGAAGAGGGGAAAGCAAGAGAGGGGAGAGAACAGAACCGGCGGGCGACCAGGGCGACGGGGACGAAGGCGGCCAAAAGGAGGGAGAAAAGGGGAAACAGGCAAAAGCCAGCAGGAGAGAGAACCGGAAGCGGGGAGGACGCCACAGGGGCGCAAACCCCGCCGAAAACGGACGAAGCGGACGACGCCGGGAACGAAGAAAGGGCAAGGGGGAAAAGGGGGGAAAAGGCAGGAGAGCACAAGGAGACAAGGACGGGGCGAGCAGGAGAAAGCAAAGGGGAAGGGGAAAGGCCGAAACAGGGCAAGACGACGGCAAAGCAACAAAAAGGCGGCAAGCAAAGAGAGGCCAAAGAGGCAAGGGCAAAAAGAAGGGGAGAAAAGAGGGAAGCGGGGCGAGAAAGAGAGAGGGAAGAGGGAGGCCACGCAAAAGGAGGGGGGGGGAAAGCGGGGGGAAGGCGGCGGAGAGACCAAAGCAACAAGCCGCGGCCCAGGGGCCGAAGGAGAAAAAGGGGGGCAAAACCGGCGCCAAAAAGGGGGCAAAAGGGAAGGAGGAGGAGCGGGGGCAAAGGGGGACAAACCGCCGGAGCGGAAGGCAAGAGGAGCGAGGGGGGGGGGGGACCAAAAAGGACGAACAGCAAAGGACCCAAGCAAGGAGGGGGACCGAAAACCAACGAAGCGGGGGGGAGGAGGGGGGGACAGCGACAGGGGGGGCGCACGCCACAGGACGAGAAAGAAAGCAGGGCGAGGGAAGGGCAAGAAAAGCGAGGGACCAAAAGGGAGAGGGGGAGGAAAGCAAAAGGAGGGAACGACAAAAGGAGGGGGGACAAGGAAAGAAAGGGGGGAAGAGCGAAGAGGGGGCAGGGGGGGAAGGCCGAAAAGGCAAGGGGGGAGCACGAGGCAAGGGGGGAGAAAGGCGAGCGGGGGGAAGGGGCCAAAGAGAAGGGCCGAAGAAAAAAGGAGCGCGCAAAGGAAGGGGGGCGCACGGGAAAAAGGCGAAAGAACAGGGAGGGGGGGAGGGGAGCACAAGCAAAGAGGCAGGAGGCGGAAGGGCCAGAAAGGCGAAGGAAGCAAAGGGGGAAGGGCACAGAAAGCGCAACCAGGGAAACGGCAAGACGAGCAAGCAGCGGGCAAAGAAAAAGCGAGGGGAAGGACGACCAAGGAGGAGCGGCAAGAAGGACCAAGGGGGGAGGCAGGCCAACGCGGAAAGCAAAGCAAAGCAGCAGGCAAGGCGAAGACGCACGAAGCAACAGCAAGACCGCGAAGCGGGGACACAGGGACGGAGGGGGACCGGGGGAGCCAAGAAGGGGAAGGGGGAAGAAAGAGACGCGGGGGGGGGGAGGAGGGGCCAGGGACACGGGGACCGGGGGCGCAAGAAGAAAAAGGAAGGGGAACAAGGGGGCCGAAGCGGGGAAGCAACGACAAAAGGAGAAAGAAGGGCAAAGAGCAAAAAGCCGAACCGAGCGGGGAACCGAGGGCGGGAAGGGAGGGAGACAAGCGGGGGCAAGGCACAGGGAAGGGCGCAGCAAGGAGCGGCCGCGAGAACACCACAACAAAACGGGGGGGCCGAAAGAAGAAACCGGACGCGGAAAGAAGCCGCACGAGGGAGGAGGAGGGCAGCCGGGCGCCCGAAAAGAGAGGGGGCGGAAGCGAGCAACACGGCGGGCGACACGCAAAAGCGAAGCAGGAGCCACAAGCAGGAGAAGCAAGACGCCAGAGGAGCGAGAGAAAGGGAGAAAACCAAAGAGGGGGGAGGGGCAGAGGGGGGAGGCAAGGGCGGGAGGCAGAGGAAGGAGAAAGGGCAGCGAAAAGCGGGGAGGAGCGGGCAGAGGAAGGAAGGGGGCGAGGAGAGGCGACGACCAGCAAAGCAGGCAGAGGGGGGAACAAAAGAACAAGGGGGGGGGAAGAAGCCAGACACGGGGGAGGGGAGGAAAAAGCACACGGCAAGAGGGAGGCGCGGGACGAAAAGGGCGAAAAGAGGGAGCAAAAGGGAACAAGGGGCAGAGGGAGGGGGGGAGACGGAGGAGACGGGGAAGAAAAGAGGGGCAGGGAAGGGAGGAGGGGGAAAGGAAGGCGCGAGAAAAGCCCAGCGCGCAGCCAGGAAGAAAGGAAGGGCGGGAGGCAAGGGGGAGGGAAAGGGCAAAGCAACCCAGGGAGGCAGGGGAAGGGGAAAGGGCAAAGCAGCCCGGGGAGGCAAGGACGGGAGAAGGGGAAAGCGAGAAAAGGAAGCAGAAAGGCGAACCAGGGCGACCGCGGCGCAACCAGGAAAGCCACCCAGCACCAGGCACCCGGGGAACCAGACGGAAGAGGGCGCAAAAAGCACCCACCAGAAGGAGGGAGCGGAAAGGGGCGAGAGGGCGGGAAAACAAGAGCAGCGACCAGGGAAGCAGGGGGCACAGGGGAGCGAGCGCAGAGGGAACCAAAAGAAGGGGACGAAGCGCGAAAGGAGCCAAGGGGGAGGGACGCCAGGCAAGAGGAACGCGAGCAAGGCAAAAGAAAGGACGGGGGGGAACGGGGGCCAAGACCAAGGAACCACAAGGGGGAGGAACGAAAGGGGGCGGCCGGAACAAAGCAAACGAAGAAGGCGGGAGGGGAGGAAGAAAGCAAGGCGCGGGGCAAAAGGAGACGCGCAAGAAGAAGGAAGAGAGGGGGAGGAAACCGGGGCACCGGGAGCCAGACGCGAAGCGAGAAGGAGGGGCCGAGCCGACGCCGCACACAAAGAGGGCACCGGGGAGCAAAGGGACGGGAAAAGCGCAGGCGGGAAGGGACGACGCGAAGAAGAAGGGGAGGGCGAACAACCCCCAGGGGGGGAGGGAAAAGGCGAAGGGGACAAAGGCGACAAACGGAAAAAGGCAGGGGAGGGGGGGAAACAAGCACCGAGAGCGGGGGAGGAGACCGGGGCAAGGGGCGGGAGAAGCGGGGGAGGCACCAAAGGCCGGGGGGACAAAACGCGCGGGAGAAGGCAAGAGGGGGAGCAGAGGGGAGGAGGGCAAAGAGAGGGGGAGGAGAGGAGGGGGGAAGCACGAACAAGGCGGGGGGGGAGAAAGGGGCGAAGCGGAGGCAGAAGAAAGGCGAAAGGAGCAGGAGGGGGGAAGGAAGGAGGCGGGGGCGGACAAGGCAAACAAGGGAAGGAAGGAAGAGGCAGCAAGCAAGCAAAGGACACCCGCGACGGGAGAAAGAAGGGGGGCCGGGAGGGAAAAGCAGCGAGCAAAAGGCCGAAGGAGGACAGCAAGAAGGCGAGACAAAGACGAAGAGGGAAAAGAGGGCGAACAAACGAAGGAGAGAGGAAGGAGGGGGGCACGACGAGACCGCACGGCAAGCAGGCCGGACAGGGCGGAGGCGGGGGGAGGGGGGGCAAGAGGCCAAGCAAAGCCAAAAGAAAGCCACCGCACCGCAACAAAGAAAAGCAGAAGAGACGGGAAGGGCACAAGCAAGGGGGAGGGGGGAGCCGAAAGGGACAGAGGGGACGCGAACGGGGGGGGCAGAGGCGGAGGGGGCAGGGGGAAAAGAGACAGAAAAAGCACCGCCGGAACGGGGCAAGGCGGGGGAGGAAGGCGGGGGGCGGGGGGGAGCAAAAAGCAAAAGGCCAGCGCAACGAGGACCGCCGAGGCCGAAGAGAGGGCGGCAGGAAGGGGGGGGCGCAAAGGGGGGGAGGAAGCAACAAGGAAGGAGGAGGGAGGGAAGGGCGACGAGGGGAGCAGAGGGGGGGACAAGACAAGGGCAAGCGCGAGCACCCACAAGCCAGGGCGGCACGCAAGAACCAAACAGAGCGACAGACGACAGCAGGGCAGAAGGGAGCAGGGGGAAAAGAAAGAGCGAAAAAGCGAGGAGAGCCCGACGGAGAACCAAGGGGCAGAGAGGCGCACGAAGCCGGGAGGCGAAACGAGAGGGGCGACGGGAAGGCAGGAAGGGGGAAGGGGGGAAAGGAGCGAAGGAGCACGGAACGGAAGCGCGGAGCGAAAAGGAGACAGAGGCCGCAAAGGAGGGGGGACAGGGGGAGAGGCGAGGAGAGGGGGGACGGGGACAGAGGGCGAGGGGCGGAAGGGGACGGAAAGCGAAGGGCGAAAGGGGAAGGGGCAAGGAGGGAGGGCAGGGGAAAGGGAACGGGGAAGCCAGGGGAAAGGGAACGGCGGAAAAAGAGGGGCCAGGCAAGGCGGTCGAAAAGCGAGGGGGAGGGGAGGGAAGCGCTAGGAGGAGGGGGGGAAGGATAGCCGGAGGACGCAGAAGAGACGGGGAGAGGAGGAGGGAAGGGGGGAGGAAAGGCCGGGCCAAGAGGGGGGAGAAGGGAAAGGACGAAAGGGCGGGGGAGGAGGGAGGGCAAGGGCGGAGCGAAAGAATTGGGCGAGGGGCGAAAGAGGGGCAGGAGGGAGGAGAGGGGGGGGAGAAACGACCAGGGAGGGGGAGGGAGAGGAGGGGGGAGAAGGGAAAGGGGGACAAGGGGCCGAAGCGGGATGGAAGGAGGAGGAGGGGGACCGGGGAGGGGCAGAAGGAGAGAGGCGAGGGGAGGAAGGGCCGGGAGGAAAAGGCCAGAGATGGTGTGCGGAAAGGGAGGGTAGAGGGACGCGAGAGGAGGGGGGAGGGGGGAGGAGAAGGATGGGGAGGGAGAGAGACAGCGAACCGGGAAAAGGGGGGGAGAGGCAAAAGCGAAGAGAGCAGAGGGGAGGGAAAACCGCCACCGGTGAAACCGCGACCCCAGAAAACCCAAGCCCAGTGAAAACCAGGCACCGGGCAAACCGAGGACCGGCGGAAACCTGCCACTCCAGAAGGAAAGCCCACAAAAAGCGCACCCCCTGGCACAAAAGCAGTGAGCGCCCGCGCATGAAGCCGAAGCTGACACCCGCGGCGCGAGAAGAGACGCGCAGCGGCACCCAGGCACCGCAAAGCGCAGAAAAGCGCCCGCGGAAACGCCAGGAGGGACGGGCGAAGCGCGCGGGAGCACCGGCCGCCTGCAAATCAAGAGAAAACGCACCCAAAGGGAAGGGCAGGGCAAGCAGACCGGGCAGAAAACCCAGCGGGCGACCGAACCCCGAAAGCCGCGCAGACGCGGCGACTGAGCGAGAAGGGCGAGAGGCCAACCCAAACACCAACCGGCAGCGGAGGCGAGGGGGGGGGGGCAGCGTCGGAGAACAAGGCGGGCAAAAGGAGGAAGAACAAGGAAGAAAGGAGAAACAGCCAAGAGAAGCGGCCGAATCAGGCCGAACGCCAAAAGGGGCCCGATATCCAGAAGGACGGCAAGGCGGGAGGACAGCGGGGGGGAGGACACGGCCAAACGACCCGCGGGGCGGAGCGGACAGAGAATAAAGCGGGGAGAAAGATGACACCGGGCGCACCACCATCTAAGAACGGGGGGGAGGGGAGGAGAAGAAGAGGGCCAGAAAAGCCGGCACCACCGGGCAAGGCCGAGCCGAAACCAGAGAAGGCCAAAGCGGGCGGAAGCCCCGGGGCGGAAGGGGGCACCGGGGGCCAGCGCGACAGCGACCGGAGAGCCGGAACAGGAGCTGAGATTCCCAGGACCGCCACGTAGCGGTTATATGTCTATGCTGTACTATGTTTGTGATTCTCTGTCGGCAGCTATTTACCACAGGATGGGAAGCTGGCTATATGACGCATAGAACCGCGGGCCACCACCCGGGCAAAAGGTGGGCACCAGCGGCCGGAGGAGAACAAAGAGCTACCACCAGGGCCACCGGGAACGGAGGCGGCCCAAGCGGCTTTGGCAAACCACCGGGGGAAGCCTCTCGGAGTTCCGGGCCACCGGGGACGAGACAAGGGCGGCAAGGGCAACGGACGCTGGCCGCTTAGCTGCGAACAGGCACAGCGAAGAGGCAGGACCAGTCGGGACGGCCCAGGCCGCCACCACGGAGGAGGACAAGAGGAAGAGGAAGAGGGGCGGACGAAGCGCGGGGAGGGGGGGACGGGCAAGAAAGGGCGGGGGGGAGCCGCGGGGGAGACGCCGGAGAAAGTAGGGAAGAAAAGGAAAAAGGGCGGGGGCGGGTTGGGATACTATATGTCGTGAGGGCCGACCCCAGGAAAATATGTTCTCTAAAAGGAACTATAGTCTGTGTCTAGCAGCACGGCAGAGGGGCAAAATGCGCAAAAAAAGGTGACACCAGACAAGGGAGGAAGGAACGAGACAAAGGGGAGGGAAAAAGCAGACCAGCAACGGGGGGGAAAGACGGAGAGGAACGCGCCAGGGCACAGAACACGCGGGGAGGGCGCGGCAAAGACACACGCGCGGGAAGAAAGGGAGGAAGACAGAGAGGAGGGCCAAGAACAGAGGAGAAGAAGAAACGGAAAAGCAGCGGGGAAGAAGCCGAGGCACCAGAAAAAAGGGGCAGCGGGGTGAAAGCCTAGGGCGGTGGGATGCCCGAGGAAGGGGGCGCAAAAGGCGACACGCGCGGGAAGGAGGAGAAGGCCGAACCCGAACGAAACGAGGAATGGAGGAGGGGGAACAGCACGGGGGGCAAAGGCACAGAAGCAAGGGAGGGGGGGCGGCAAAGAGGGGACAAACGCGGACCGAGCAAGGACAGCGCGCGGACAACACGGGGAGGACACACGAACAAGGGGAAGGAGGCGGGGCGAACAGCAAAAGCGCGGGCCAAACAAAGAGAGACAGTAGCCGAAAGACAGCGTAAAAGGAGAGCGCACCTAAGGGAGGAGGGAGAGAAGCCAACGCAGGAAGAAGGAACGAGAAGCGACGAGAAAGAGCAACAGGAAAGACACGGAGACAAAGAAAAGCCAGGACAAGACCAGGAGACAAGGAGAAAGCACCGGAGGGAGAAGGGGCCGCGAGGGCGAACAAAAGGAGCGGGGGCAGGAGGGGGCGCGCAAAACACAGGATGGAGGGAAGCGGGGGAAAGCCAAGCAAGAACAAGAGGCCAAAGCCCGGGGCGGGGGAGGGAGAAGGCCAGAAGGGGGAAGAACAAGGCGCAAGCAGCGGGCGGGACAACAACAGGAAGGCAGCAGGGGAAGGCAACCCAACAGCCAGGGGGACCGCCGCACCAACGAAAGGCCGAGCGAGGACGGGGGCAACAAGCCCAAGGGGGGGGCGCGCAAGGGGAAAGCCGAGGCGGGGAGCAAGCGGCAGCAAAGGGGCCGAAACGCGAGGGGGGGCGAAGGCGCAAAAGGAACCGCAAACGACCCAGAAAAGGGGGACAGCGAGAAGGGGCCAAGTGCAGGGGGAAAAGAGGGCCCAAAGCGTGAGCAAGCGCAAGGGAGGGCGGAGAAAGAAGAAAGAAGAAGAAGCGAAAAAGAAGCGCAAACCGAAGGGGGGAGGAGCGCAGAGACGAGACAACAAGAAGGTGGGAAGGGGGGGGCCAAAGAAGCGGGAAGAAGGCAGAGGGGGGGGAAGCGGAGCGCGGCGGGCACACAGAGGAAAGAGGGGGACACGACAGGGCGGGAAAGGGACGAGAGGGGAAGGGGAGAAGGGCAAAAAGGAGAGCGGCAAGAGGAGAGAACAGAGCAAGGAGAGAGGGAAAGCGGACAGGGGAGGCAAGAAACCAGAGGGAAGCAAGCAGAGGAAGCCGCAAAAGAGGAGGGGGGAAGGGCGAGGGAAGGGGCAGACAAGAAGAGGGCCGCGCGCAAGGACGAAGAGGAAGAAAAAGGCCCGGGGGCGGAGCGAAGGCGGGGGAGGGAGGGGGCTGAGCAGGGAGGAGGGCGGGAAGAAAGACAAGAAGGGGAAACGCAGGCAAAAAGGGGAAAAGAGAAAAAGGAAGGAAAAAAAAGGAAGCAAGGAGGCGGAGAGGACGGGGCGGAAGGAAGCACAAAGGAGGGGGGCCCGAGAGGAGGGGGGGCAAACGCAGCGGGCGGGGGCAAAAAAAAGAAGCAAAAAGAAAAGGAGGCAAAGACGGAAAGCCAAGGGGGAGGAGAGGGTGAGGGCAGGAGCAAAAGGGGGAAAGGGGGAGGAAGAAAGGGGAAGAGAGGGGAGAAGCCAGAGGGAAAGCGGAGAGCCCCAAGGGGAGGGAGGAGACGAGGCGAGGCGAGACAAGAAAGGGAAAAAGAAAGGCAGGAGGGGAGGAAAGGGAAGGAAGAAGAGAGCAAGCCAAAAAGCAAGAAGGGCAAGAGAGAAAAGGGAAACAGAAAGAGGAAGAGGGAGGCGGAGGAAGAGGGAGAAAAGCAAGCCGCAAGAAAGCCCGAAGAGAAAGAACGGGACGGGAAGGGGGCAGGAAGCGAGGCGGAAGAGCAAGCAGCGAGGGAAAGAAAGGAGGACACAAGGGAAACAAGAAAGAGAACCAAGAAGGGGACGGAAGGAGAAGGGGAGAAGCGGGAAAGAGGAGGGAAGGGCACAAGGGCAAGCGCACAGCCCACAGGGGAAAGAAGCAAGGGGAAGGCCAGCAGGGAAAGGAAAGAGGCGAGGGGATGGGCGCCGAGGGGGAGGAGAGGGCAGGGAAGCCAAGGGCAAAGGCAGGAGGAGAGGGCCAAAGGGACGGGAAAGGGACGAAGGGCAGGAAGGGGACGCAAGAAAAGGGAGGCAAGCCAAGGGGGCGAGGCGGAGGAGAGGGCCAGGAGGGAGCAAGGGGCAAAGGCAAGGAGAGAGAGGGAGGAAGTGAGGAAGGGGCGCAAAGGGGGAGGAAGAGGGAGAAGAGGGAGGAAGGGGCCAAAGGAGAAGGGAGGAAGGGCGCAAAAGGGGACCCGAAAGGAAAGAGGGAGGCAGGGCAGGGAGGCAGCCAAAGGGGGGAAGGGGGAGAGAGGAGTAGAGCGGACAAGGCGGCAAAGGCAAGGGGGAGGGACAAGGGTAGGGAGGAGAGGGCAAAGGAGAAGGGAAAGGGAGGAGAGGCAGGCCAAAGCAAGGAAGGGAGGAGAGGAAGGGCAGCGAGCAAGGGAGCGAGAGGAGGAGGGGGCCCAAAGAGAGGATAGGGGAAGAAGAAGGAAAGTGGAGGAAGGGCAAGGCAAAGCAAGGAAGCGGAGGAGAGGCAAGGGACAAAGCGAGCAGGGAGAGATGAGGGCCAGAGAAGGGAGGAAGGGGACAAGGGAAGAGAGGGCCCAAGGCAAGGGAAGAGAGGAAGGCGGGAAGCAGGAGACAGACCCAGACGGAAGACAGAGGAAAAGAGAAGAAGAAGGGGCAGAAGCAAAAGACGAGGCGAAACGATGGAAGGGAGGAGAGGGGAGAGTAGAGGGGGAAGAGAAAAAGCCCAAGAGGCGGGAGCGACACCAGAGGAAGAGGCAGGGACGCCAGGGGGCCGAAACCGCAAGCGCAAGGAAAGCGCGGGACAAGAGCGGCAACGCGGAAGCGGAGAGCGGACAAAAGGCCGAGACAGCGAAGAGAAAGGCGAAAATAGGAGAACGGGGCGGGCCAACGGAGAGGCGCAGGACCAGCGAAGAAAGAGAGGAAGAGGGAAAGAGGGGGAAGCAGAAGCAAAAGAAGCCAAAGTCAAGACGATAGACAAAAGGCAAAGAAAGCGGCCAGCGCAAGGAGCGGAAAGGGAGAGAGGCGGGGGGAGAGAAACACGCAGAGGGAGACAGAGCGGACAAAAGAAAGAGCCAAGAGGGGGAAAGCGGCAGCAACGGCAAGAGACGCAGCGCACCAGCGGAAGAGCAGCGACAGAGGCGCAAAGGGGGAAGCAAGGCAAAACGGGGGGGGAGCAAAACAAGGGAAAGGAGGAAAGGAACACGGAGGGGGAAAGCCGGGAGGGGCACACGGAGCGGGGAGAGCCGAAGCAGCAGGGGCGGAAGACAGGGGGCCGGGAGGAGGGGGGGCGGGGGGAGCAAAGCACCGAGAGCACGGAAGAGACGGGGCGACCGGAGCGGAGAAGACGGGGGGGAAAGGAGCACGGAGGCGGGAAAGCCGGGGAAAGGAACGCGGCGACGGGAAACCCGAAGCAGCAGGGGGGAGGCACGGGGCGGGAGGAGGGGGGCGGGGGGAGCAAAGCACGAGAGCACGGAAGTGCAGGGGAGCGGGGAACCAAGAAGGGGGGGAGAGAGGGAAGGGCGCGGGGAGAGAAAGAGCAAGGGGAGGAGGAGAGGACAGCACCGCGCCGAACCACGAGAAAGGGCCGGGGGGCGGGACGGCGGGCGGGACGGACGGCGCGGGCGGGCGGCGCACGGAAGAAGCGGGACACGAGCGACACACACACCGGAGCGGGGAGGGAGGGCGCGGGGCACCGGACGCGAACAAGCGAGGGAAGAGGCGGGGGGAGCGCGGGCGGACCAAGGGGGGAGGGGCGAAAAAGGGGGAAAGGCGAGGCACCCCCCCCC